AAGCGGACGAATTCCTGAAACCTTTTCTGGTCTGTCAAAAGTAGATTACATGTAAGGATTTCGATTATAAAGACTAAAATTTCCAACCCCCGCACCCCACCCCACCCCACCCAGCAAAAAAGAAAAAGAAAAATCATTTCTTGCCCTTTGCGGCCTTCTTTTTCCCTTTTTCTTCTGGGGTTTCTGGGGGCTGGAGGCTCGGAGCCTTGCTTTATTAAACTATTTTTCTTAATTTTACTCCACCACATTAGATTTGTCTCTTATTTTGGTCAACTGAAATTATTCCCACATTTGAGTTGTCAAAATCAATTCTTTTTGAGCTTTGTTGTTACTCCACGGACATAGAAATTCAAGAATTTCATATTAATTTACTTTATTCTTTGCGACATCTGTTCAGCTTGTGAAGCCAATAATAAATCTCCACTCCCAACATAAACTACTAAATTTGGACTTTCTTGGTTATGGCTTGTGTGTGAATGTAAAGAGATCCATTTGAAATTCAAGGACTAGCAACACTTCCAGAAATTTGAAGTTATTGCTCGTTCTGTGGCGACAAACAAGTGAAATTTCAGGAAATTGCTGAGACTCACTAATTCGTGATCTCCATTTTGTCAGTTATCTAACTGGAAACTCATTAACTGGTCCATTACCTCCTTGGATGCTGGAAGTAGGAGATGATAACATGTGAGTCTTTTTTTTTCCTCTCTCTCCAATAATGTAAAACTACAGAATATTTGTTTAATATGTTTCATAAATATAATGTTTTCATGATGGCAAACTCATTATTTATATAATGCTCATTTGCACTTTCTTACATTTTCATCTTGACTTTGTTAGTTTATTGTACTTCTTGTCGAAGTTATTTAAAACTGATTAAATCATAGCTCATGTATGTGCTAAGGCGTTTATCTTCCTATTATATCATGGTAAAGGTAGAGAAAATAACTATCAGAAAAGGCCAAACCAAGTTACGAGTATATTCAGCTGCCTTCTTCATTGTATTATCTCATAAAATGAACGAGGAAATCACGTGAGACAGTATAATTGACCGTCTTTGTTATATGTAATTAGTGATCTATCCTACAACAACCTCACATCTGAAAGCAGACCCACAAATTGTCAGCAGGGAACCCTGTAAGATCAGTCCTCGTATCTTGTTAATATTGAATATTTCTTCAAACTTCCACATTTTTGTAACACTGCACCAATATTTGTCAGGAATTTGTTTGCAAGCTCAAAGGGCAATACAACGTGAGTTCCTTTGTTTCTTTAATGCTGTGTTCCCAATGATAT